GCCGCCGGCGGCTCTGATCTGGGGGTGCCGCGACTGACTCCGGGGGCGGGGGCTCGGCGGGTGTCCTGGGGTCCCCCACCCGGTCCCGCAGCGCACGCGCCGGGCGGTGCGGGCTCCGCGGCTCCGGCCCGGGCGGGACCTGGGGACCCCCAGCTGCGCGTGCCGAGGGGCCCCCGCACCCCCCCCCCCGGGAAGGGACAGGCAGCGCCGCCTCCAGGCCTCGCGCTCGAGGCTCCCGGCGGCCGGTCCCGCTGCTGCTCCCGCCCGGGCTGGGATGCGGGCCGTGGGCCCACGCAGGGCGCTGCCCTCCGGGTGTGCGAACCCAGCGGCCTCCGCTCCTGAGAGAGGCGGGCTCGGGCGGGTCACCCTTGACCCGCGCGCAAGCAGGGGGTTCGGGCCCGGCCCCCGCCCGGGGGAGCCCCCCCGCGCGCCCCCGGCGCCCCGGGCTCCCCCAGAAACGTGCCTCGAAGGCGCTTCCCGGTGACCGCGGCCAGGGGCAGGCGGCGCGGGACCGCGGGGGGGGCGGGGCGGGGGGAGCCGGGGTGCGGGGCCTCCCCGGGCCGCTGGGGTCTTTCCAGCAGCGGCGGCGCCTCAGCTTCTGCACCTTACACCTCACGTTTTGGCGGAAACACTTTCCTTCAGGTCGGGGTCCCCGGGGCTGGGGAGGCCGCGCGGTCCTGTGAGCCGCAGACGCCCGCGGGGCGGGGGACCCTGAGCCCGGCTGGGGCAGCGCGCGCCTCCCAGCCCGCCCCCGCGCGCCCCCGCGCCCCCCGCGCCCCGCGCGTTGTGCCCGGCCCGGCCCTCGCGCGCTCGGGGCGGCTGCGGCGGGGGGGGGGCGGGACTCGTGTCCGGCCCGCGCTGCTCCCGCGTCCGCGGGGCCCTTTCGGCCGAAGCCCGCGGTTTCCCCGTCGCTTCGCGCAGCGCCGAGACCGGTGCCCTGCCGCCCGTTTCGCTCATGTTTCCCTAAAACTTGCTTTGTAAATTCAAGGCTTTTTGTGATTCCACCTAAATTTCAGCATTTCGTGCTCAGTTTCTTTGGAAAACATCGCGGCGTTTGTCGGGGGCGCGCGGCCCGTGTCACTTCAGGCGAGACGGCGTTTGGCGCCTTTCGGCTCCCGCCCCCCGCGCGTCGCCCCAGCCCGGCGCCCGCGGACGCTCGAGGCCGACCTGCCGCGGGGCCGGGTCCGCCCTGGTGCCGCGGCCGTCGTGGCTGCTTCCTGCGCGTCCGTGGCTTCGCGGGCAGCGCATGGTAGGAAGTTGCAAATTTTTGTGCTTTGGTTTTTTTTTTTTTTTAGCATTTTAAGTATCTTTTATATTTACAAGTTAAGTTTGCTAAGTTAAAGATCAGTAAAGTGGACTCGCACCCACATCGCCTACTCCCAGCTTCAGAGGGCGACAAAACGCATCTGAACCCTCCTGACGCTGCATGGGCGGGCGCACCAAGCCTGCAGCGCGGTGGCAGTTCACGGTGCTCAAGGATGTTTAGAATAACTGAAATAATTATTTCGAAATGCTTTTCAAAGAAACAGTTAAAGTTCTTGCAAAGGGCATTATCCCTTTCATGATTTTTTTAGAGAAACACCCAGAAGACTTCTAATGAACTTTGAGAGTTCGTGCAGCTTCTACAAATATCCTTTCCATTTTACACCGCAAGATTCATATAGAAGCTAGGTTTTTTTTACATGGGTGAAAATATGTTATAAGCAATTAAAGAATAAAATAGCCTATTTTCAGGTTTAAAGTGAAAAATGATAATTCGGGGGCCGTTTAAGTGATTTGAAACCAGTTATTTATGATTAAATGCATCCCTCTTATTTCTCTTATTTTATTTAAAAAATATTTTATTTTATTTAATTCTTACATCATTTTTTGCGCAATGTACACATTTTCATTTTGGTTATATTCCCCATACAATTGCACCCCCCCTTATTTTGACCCTAATCCAAAGACTAACTATTATAAAGAAAAAATAAAAATCAATAAGCAACTATAAACCACACACACACAAACTGTGTGAGTTGATTTTTTAGCCTGCAACTTTGTCATATTCATATTTTGTTTCTAATGACCTTTTTTTTTTTTTGTATTTTATTTATTTATTTATTCATTCATTTATACAAGCACTGGGTACAGTCAGAAGCGCGGGAGGGTGAGAGAATTCACCAGAGCCAGAGCAGGGGGCAGAGCAGGCAGAAGGACCGAGGCACACTGCTGAGGGGAGCAGCGGGCGGCAGGAGAGGTCTGCGCGCCATGTGGGACCCTCCTCCGGAGGCCCGGGAGCAGCCGGGGATCGAACCGGCGCTGCAGAGGCTGCGGGCGGCTTCGCAACCCAGTGCTCAACCGCTGCGCCACCGGGGAGGCCCTCTAATGACCTTTTGATGGAGTCTTTAGGGTTTTTAATATGTATCATTGTTTCATCTGCAAATAGTGATGTGTTCACTTCTTCTTTTCCTATGTAGGTCCCTCTGTTTTTGTGTTTGTCTGACAGCTCCAGCCAAAAATCTAATACTAAGTCAAATAGAAGTGGTGACAGTGGGTAACAGCCCTTGTCTTATGCTGGATCTTGGGGAAGGCTTTCAGTCTTTCACCATTGGCTATCGTAGTGACGTGCATTAGTGGTCTATGGCCTTTATCATGTTGAGGCGGGTTCCTTCTTTTTCCATCTTGTTTAGAGTTTTTATCAGAAATGGGTATTTAGGGCCTCCCCGGTGGCGCAGCAGTTGAGCGTTGGGTTGCGAAGCTGCCCGCAGCCTCTGCGGCGCCGGTTCGATCCCCGGCTGCCCCCCGGCCACCGGAGGAGGGTCCCACATGGCGCGCAGACCTCTCCTGCCGCCCGCTGCTCCCCTCAGCAGTGTACTTCGGTCCCTCTGCCTGCTCTGCTCCCCGCTCTGCCTCTGGTGAATTCTCTCACCCTTCCGCGCTTCTGACTGTACCCAGTGCATGTATAAACAAAACAAAACAAAAAAAACCAAACAAATAAATAAATAAATAAAACATGCCTCTATTAAAAAAAAAAAAAGAAATGGGTATTTAATCAAATGCCCTCTCTGCATCTGTTCCTGTTAATCATATGACTTTTATCTTTATGCCAGTTGATATGGTGTATTACATTAATAAGATTATGTATATTAAACCATCTTGCATACCTGGGATGAGTCCCACTTGATCCTGGTGTATAATTCTTGTGATACACTGTTGAAATCAGTGTGCTAGTATTTTCTTGAAAATTTTTGTATTGATGTTTATTAAGGATATAGGCCTATAATTTCCTTATGCTTTGTCTGATTTTAGTATTAAGGTTGTGTCAGCATCCAAAAAAGGAGGAGTCCTTCTTGTATTATTGAAAACAATTCAAGCAAGTTGATCATTAGTTTTTGTTTAAAAGCTCTATAAAATTTATTTGTAAAGCCATCTGGTCCTAGACTTTTGTTTCTCAGAAAAATTTTCATTTCTGTTTCAGTTTCCACGCTTGTGGTAGGTTTTCTCCAGGCACCTGTTCTTCCTGGGGGTAGTCTTGGTAGATTAGGTTGATCTAGAAATTTGTCTATTACTTTGAGGTTATTGAATGTATTGGCATATAGTTTTCATAGTACTTTCTTATAACATTTTGTATTTCTCTGTTGACTGTAGCGATTTCTCCTCTAGTATTTGTGATTAAGTTCATTAAATTTTTTCTCTCCTTTTTTCTTTTCTGTTAGTCTAGATAGAGGGTTATCTATTTCGTTTGTCTTCTCAAAGAATCAGCTCTTAATTTCATTGATTTTTTTTTTGGTGTAGTCTTTGTGATCTCTACTTCATTTATTTCCACTCTTATTTTTGTAATTTTCTTGCTACTACTAACTTTAGGTCTTATTCCACTTTCCCAAGTCTCTTTAAGTGTGATATCACATTGTTTATTTGGGATACTTCTTACTTTTTATTATAATATGATCTGTATGCAATTATTTTCCCCTTTAAGACCACTTTTGCTATACCCCATAAATTCTGGTAACTTCTATCATCATTTTTATTCATTTCTGGTATTTTTAACTTTCTGCTTTGATTTTCTTTTATTCAATTGCTATTAAACAGCATTTTTTAATTCTCCAAGTAGTCATACTTTTTTTCATGTAATTTTTTTAAGGCTGATTCCCAGTTTTATGGTATTGTGGTCAGAGAAGGCACCAGGTAAAATTTAAGTCCCTGTGGTTTAATTGACAGTTGACTTGTTTCCCAAAATGGGGTCTGCCCTTAAAAATGTTCCATGTGCACTTGCTTTTGTGGCTGACCTTGTCCTTGGGCTGTGTGCTCCCGATTAAGGACTGCCTGCCCTCTTCTGTGAGTCCTATGCCTTCCTATTCTGTGCTGACTGTTCCTTCCAGCCTGGACCTCATGTATATCCCCACATCTGGCCCCTTTGGTGCCTCAGCTCTCCCTCCTGACTCCAGGCTCTCTGCCCTGCACCGGCCACCTTCCCTGGCCTGGGTCTAGCTCCTGTCTGCCCAAGCAAATGCCCTCCCTGAGCCAAGCCCAGGCCTCAAGTCAGAAGAGGATGCTCGTGTCCAGGGCAGCATGGGGAAGAGTGCTGCAGGCAGAGCCCACAGGACAGAGGGTTTTGGGGAGAGATGGGGAGCCAGGAGGGAGAGCTGGCCACGTTCTGGGCGGGATGGAACCTCTGGACACTAAGCCTCAGGAAGATGCTGGCATCTGCCTCTTGGTGGTGCTAGCAAGGACCTGGCACTGTCAGGTTAGCACTTTGGGATCAGCATCCTGTGTGAGGAGAGGCGACGCAGTCATGCCGTGTGAGGGCTGCCAGAGCCAGTCCGGGCAGTGGCACAGGGTACAGAGGAAGGTCCTGCCCATTTATTTCAGGCTGGGGGCTGGCGGCTGCAGTGGTTGAGTCAGATAAAATGTAAAATTATATAAAATCAGGGGGAGTGTGATGTATCTAGAGACCATTAATTCCACACACTTTCCAGCTCAGCTGTGGAACAAGAGGTGCCTGAACAGACTTGTTGGAGGCCATGAGCAACCAGTCTCTGGTGACGGAGTTCATCCTGCGGGGCTTCTCCGTGCCGCCCCCACTGCAGACCCTCCTCTTCGTTCTCTTCCTCTCCCTCTACACCGTGGCTCTCTGCGGCAACTCCCTCATCGTGGCGGCCATCGCTGCCAGCGCGGGGCTCCACACCCCCATGTACTTCTTCCTGGTCAACTTGGCTGTCTTTGACGTCATCTGTGCGTGCACGGTGGTGCCCAAGCTGCTGGCGATCCTGGTGGCAGAGAAGAGAAGCATCTCCTACTGGGGCTGCATGGTCCAGATGTACTTCCTGTCCTGGTCAGTGGCGGGGGAGGTCCTGCTCTTCACGGCCATGGCCTACGACCGCTACGTGGCCATCTGCCAGCCGCTGCACTACAGCTCCATGATGAGCCCCAGGGTGTGCGTGGGGCTGGCCGGGGCCGTGTGGGGCATCAGTGTGTTCGGTGCCGGGGTCAACGCCTGCCTGGTGCTGCGCTTGACCTTCTGTGGGCCCAACGTGGTGGACCACTTCTTCTGCGAGATCCCCCCTGTGCTGCTGCTTTCCTGCTCCCCCACGTACCTGAACGACATCATGTCACTCATGGCTGACATCTTCTTCGCGGTGTTGAATTTCGCGTTCACCGTGGTGTCCTATGGTGTCATCATCTCCTCCATCCTGAAGATCCGCACGGCCGAGGGCAAGCGGCGCGCCTTCTCCACCTGCTCCTCCCACCTCCTCGCGGTCACCTTGTACTACTCCACCATCATCTACACCTACCTGAGCCCCGGCTCCAGCTACTCCCCCGAGACTGGCAAGGTGGTGGCTGTGCTTTACTCCTCCGTGAGCCCCAGCTTGAACCCGCTCATCTACACGCTGAGGAACAAGGACTTCAAGGCCGCCCTCAAGAAAGTCTTGACATTTTTAGCAGAAAAACTGTAATTACATTATCAGATGTAATTACATTATCAAATCAGAGGGACTAGCTCGGGAAAGCTACAGACTGCAGGCGCGGTGAGGGAGCCTCAGCGTCTCCCGGGGCGCGCCGGGAGTGCTCGGGAGGCGAGAGGCGCCGGGCCCGGGGTCCTGAAGGTGCCGGAGACCCCGCTCTCTGCCCTGGGTCCGTCACGGAACCGAACCTCACTTTCTGCTGCGCATTCTGCTTTTCCACGCGGAACTGCCTCAGCACGTCTCCCGCTCACCATGTGCGCGGGGCCGCCATTTCCTCTGCTGCGCGCTCATCTCCCGAGTCCCGGGGGCGGCGCGGGGCGGGTCGCGAGGCCGAGGGCGCCGGGGCGAGTGTCGCGGGACGCGGCCCTGCCCTTCCGGAGCCCCGCGGAGGCGGGCGGGGCCCCGGGGGCCATCCGGGCCCACGGGGGGGGGGGGGTCGCGGGGCCCGGGACGCCCCCGCGGAGGATCCCTGCAGGCGCGGGGCCTCGGCGCCCCGCAGACGCCGGTCCCGCCCGGGGAGGCGCCGTCCCGGCTTGGCGGCGGGGCCGTTCGGGCGGGCGCGGGCGGAGCCGGTGTCCCGGGAAGCCTGGAGAGCTGGAGCCCCAGCGCCGCGGGCACCGCGCGGGCGGGCGTGCGGGGCGGACGGGCCTCTCCGGCGGCGTTGGGCGGGCGGCCTCCCGCGCCCCGGCTCCCGCCCGCCCGCCCGGGCCCTCCGCCTGGAGGAAGGCGGCGCGGAGGCCCGGCGGGCTGGCGCTGGCCACGGGCTCTGGGGCCCGCGTGCCCGCGGACGGCGACCTCGCCCCGAGCGGGCTTCGTCCCGAGCCGCCCGAATCCCGAGGCTGCGGGGACACTGGGCGGGCGTCAGGGGCGCGTGGCGAGGACGCCCGCCGGGAGACGCTGCGGCGCGGGCAGACCGTCCCCCCCGGCCCCCCGCCGCCCCGCCGTGCGGCAGCGGCCTGGACCGCGTGGACACGTGTCTGGACACGTGTGGGGAAACAGCCGCTGGGAGGTCACAGCGTGCTTCCTGGATCGTGGAATGGACCAATCAGGTGCGAGCTCTGAGCCGATTGGTGCTAAATGGTCCAATCAGACTTTGCTACCTGGAGCCGCCTCTCCCCACAAGTCAGGGGTGGCAGCTGCCTCAGCGCCCTTGAGGTAAAGCGCACTTCCTGGACTGTGGACTGGACCAATCAGGTGCTATGGGCTGATGGGTAAATGGTCCAATCAGCCCCAGGGTTGAAAAATGGTCCAATCAGACTTGCGGGCGGGGCCCCTGAAGGCGGATATAAGCCAGGCGGGTGGGCACCGAGCTGAGGGGGTGCTAGCCCTGCAGGGGGTTCCGACCCCGGGGAGGAGGGGGCGACTCTTCCTGGCCCCGAAGAAGGAGAAGCGGTTACCTGCGAGGAGCGCACCGCCCCGGCCTGGCGCCTCACGGAGCCGCTTGTTGGTGCCGCCCAGCAGCTCGCGCAGTTGGGAGCACTCGCTGCCTCGGCGGGGCCGGCGGCGGCATCACTGCGGCCCGGGCCGTGCAGACCGGGGCGACCGTCACCGACGCCGTCTGGGTGAGGCCGCGGCCCTGTCCTTCGTTGGGCTCTAGCCCGTCGGCCCCAGTTGTGAGGCCGAAGTGTTGCTGTAGCCCTGAGTTGTGGTTTCTGGTTTCCTGGCTTTCGGGTGACTGGCCCCAGCCGGGCAGGTGGGGGGCTCTCGTCCGGCCTCCTGCCTTGTCCTTTGCCGCCCCGTCCACCCTCTTTGCAGCAGGGCTCGGTGCTGTGGGGACCTGCCCTGCCGTGAATCTCGCCATGGGGACAGACAAGGAGCCCAGAGCTGGGTCACGCAGTCACCTGGGGGACCCTGCCTTGTGAGCCGCTGGAGGGTTGCGGGGCCTGGAGGTGGTGCCCGCAGGAGTGGGGCTCCCCATCCCCAGAGCCCCCCCATCCTGGGGTCCTCTGTCCAGAGAGCCCCCTTTCTTGAGAGCTTCGCCTGTCCCAGGAGCCCCCAATCCAGGGAGATTCTCCCTGTCCCTGCAGACCCCCCCATCCCAGGAGCCGTCCTTTCTGTGGGTCTCTGCTGCCAGAGGGTCCTGGGGGCCCCAGCTGTCCTTCCTCGTTCACAGGCCCGGGCCAGTTCGTGCTTCTAACCCCGACCAGGGGATGGCTGGCCGCCCCTGCTGCCCTCGTGAGAAAGCTGAGCCCCCCCGCCCTACGGAGACTCAGGAAGGCCTGGCGGCCTGGTCTGACAGTCTGGTCTGCTCGCTGGCCTCGGGAGGGGGGAGTGGGCTGTGCGCACTCCCTTCAGTGTGGGAGGCCTCTGGCTGACCCTTGGGCGGGAATCCCCCACTCTGCAGGCTGAGGAAGTGTGCAGACCCCGACTTCCTGCAGCCTGTGCCTGCTCTTTTCAAGATGGGTGGGGGCCTCCCCAGTCAGGGGTCCTGGCCTGAATGGCCAGGGCCAGGTCCTGTCCTGGGAAGAACGGGTGGCCCCTGGGCACAGGTGCTGGCCCTGCCCGGAGCCGGGGGAGCCTGTGCTGCCCGTGGGAAGGAGATGGGTACCCCATGGCTGCCCGGGCCCAGGCTCTCCCAGCTGGTGTGGAGGCTCTGGGGTGTGGCCCAATTTTGGGGGGTAGGGGGGTGTGCTGAGCTCTGGGAGATTCTGGGTGGTTGGAGCCATGACAAAGTAGGGAAAGAAAGGTCTCAGGTGGTGAGAGGGGGCTGCTCCCTGCACTGCTGGGACATGGGGGTGGCAGGTGACCCCTCAGCACCCGGGTCTCTGCAGAGCGAAATAACGGCAAAACCAAAGACGGCCTGTGGGATGGGGGGGCTTCAGGTCCTGCCTCTGGTAAGGGTTAAATCTGGACTAAAGCGGGGACTTGCCCAAGGCAGCAGCGAAGACCTGAGGGTCCAATTTCACGTGTGAGGAACACAGAACCACAGCCAGAGGTCGGATCAAACCAAACCAACCCTCGAAATCTGGCTGCGGAACTGAGGTCACCGGAGAGAGGAGTGGGGATGGGGGGGCCAACGGGTGGTGTGGGGGTAAAACTCCGGAGAGTGCGACCCACACCCTTGAATCGTGCACGCGCGGCAAACCAGCGGGGCCTCGCCAAGGACAAGCCAGTAGCTGGCAGGGTCGCACGGCCACTTTCCATGGGGTCGCTCCGCGGCTGGCAGGTGCCGGACATCCCCGCTGCCGGGACACGGACCCATCCCCGCTGCCTCCTCCCCGGGAAAGGCCGTGGTCATCCCGGGAGCACCGCAGGGCTGCGAGGGGCAGAGGCCGGGCTGGGCGGCGCGGCCTGTGGCTGTCCTTTGGTGAGTCGAGAGTGTGTCGGCTTAAAGGGGATGTCAAAGTCCTTGCTTTCCCTCCAGAAGGGGCTGCTCACTAAATGCAATAAACTTTTTGTTTTTCTGTTAAAAACGAAATCCTGCCATCACGACAGGGAAGAAGCAGAAACAGGCCCCGCAGCTGCAACCGCAGCTGGACAGCAGTGACCGTCTTGGTCCTGCAGATTCTCACTGACCACACCCCTGGACTTCTCCCTGGCCGCCCGGATGTGCTGGACAGTCCGCCTCCTGCGTCCAGCCAAGGCAATGCAGAGCCTGCTGGCCAAGCGGTCTCCTGCTGGCGGCTCTGCTCCCCTGGCCGCTGTCACGCTACTGTGCTGGCTGCCCACTGGCCCTGCAGTTGTGCCCTGACCAGAGGCAGTGGCCTTGTCCTGGGGTCACGGCACCCGCGGGGGCACTGGCTTCAACAGGGCGAAGGTGGGACTTTCAAGCATCGCTCACACCCTAACACGTCCAGACCTGCGTGTTGTACACTCCGTTCTCGCAAACTTTAAAAATTGCTTAGACGCGTTTCAGCGCATGGCGCCCTGCGCTAGCCCAAGTGGGGCCTTGTTGAGTGTGGCTCTTGGAGGCCAGGATGGCCCTCCCAGCACCGGCGGCCCCCGGAGAGGGGTGAGAGGGCGTCCCCTGGGAGGGTGGCCGCCCCCCCCCATGCCTGATGGCCACACCGGCCGCAGGCACAGCCGGGGCCCCACCTGGGGGGCCCACGCCCACCCTTGAGAGGCTGCAGCCCGGGTTGGCGGTCGTTGCCCAGGAGCAGGTGGGGCCACAGGCCTGGGGGCTGCAGCCCCTGCTTCTGGCGAGGCCAGCTGCAGAGACCCCGTTTATCCCGGTCTGAGAAGTGGAGCTAATTAAACAGGTCTGTTTGCATATAGTTATCTTCCATGCACCTAAAACGTTTTCTTTATTGAGTCTCATGATGAAAGGATTTCCACAGACAGCTTCATCCAATGAACTGAAACAGACTCTTTGGGACACTGGGCCTGGGGCGCCCCCTGCACCCACACCTGGCGGGCCAGGGCTCCTGCAGGGGAGGAGGCAGGAGGGGCCGGACCTGGCTGCACTGCGGGGCCCCCGGGCAGGGTGAGGGCGGGGCAAGGGCCAGGGCGGGGCTCCTGCCCCAGGCCAGTTGGGGTGAAGAAGCGGCCTCTTGGGTTGCCCTCCCGTGGCCTGGGTTTCCAGGGCGCAGGCGGTGCCCTTGGGTGCTCAGCAGCTCTCCCTGCTGTGACAGGGCCGCGCCCCTTCTGCTCCTGCCTGGGCTGGCCCAGGCCGGTGCGGAGCCCCCAGTCACGATCCCGCAGCAGCAGACTGTGTTGATTCCCCGGTAAGTTCCTGGGGTGCGGACTTGCTCATCGGGCTGGGCTCTTTAGGAGCCGTTGGCTCTGCCCGCAGGGGCCTGGGGGCCGCGCTCCCACCTCGCTGGCGTCTCCACACCCTGACTTGTGTTCTGCCCAGTGATGAGGTGAAGCAGCTCTGCCTTAGTTGCCATCTTTGGTGAAATGGTTGTCCAGCTTCTGGGCACGTGCGATGGACAGAAGCCGCTGCCAGATGAGCACCGTGGGGGTGGGGCCTGCGCTGTCGCCCTCCGTGGGAGAGCGCCCTTGGGGTTAAATGGAAGGCAGTTTCCAGTTTTCCTTAATGTTCTTTTTGTTCAAGGTTGGGTTCGGGTCCGGCCAATGAGGGTTGTTTTCAGCAGAGAGATCATAAAGATGTAGAGGAATGAAAGACAAAAGAAGGCAATGAGATTCTTTGCAGTTATACTGACCAGTCACAAACCTTTACATTCTAGTCAAACTATGGAGCAAGAGAGACACACTGAACTATGTAAGTTCTTTGCAAGATGATGCTGGCAGCCATGAGCAACCAGTCGCTGGTGACGGAGTTCATCCTGCGGGGCTTCTCCGTGCCGCCCCCGCTGCAGACCCTCCTCTTCGTTCTCTTCCTCTCCCTCTACACCGTGGCTCTCTGCGGCAACTCCCTCATCGTGGCGGCCATCGCTGCCAGCGCGGGGCTCCACACCCCCATGTACTTCTTCCTGGTCAACTTGGCTGTCTTTGACGTCATCTGTGCGTGCACGGTGGTGCCCAAGCTGCTGGCGATCCTGGTGGCAGAGAAGAGAAGCATCTCCTACTGGGGCTGCATGGTCCAGATGTACTTCCTGTCCTGGTCAGTGGCGGGGGAGGTCCTGCTCTTCACGGCCATGGCCTACGACCGCTACGTGGCCATCTGCCAGCCGCTGCACTACAGCTCCATGATGAGCCCCAGGGTGTGCGCGGGGCTGGCCGGGGCCGTGTGGGGCATCAGTGTGTTCGGTGCCGGGGTCAACGCCTGCCTGGTGCTGCGCTTGACCTTCTGTGGGCCCAACGTGGTGGACCACTTCTTCTGCGAGATCCCCCCTGTGCTGCTGCTTTCCTGCTCCCCCACGTACCTGAACGACATCATGTCACTCATGGCTGACATCTTCTTCGCGGTGTTGAATTTCGCGTTCACCGTGGTGTCCTATGGTGTCATCATCTCCTCCATCCTGAAGATCCGCACGGCCGAGGGCAAGCGGCGCGCCTTCTCCACCTGCTCCTCCCACCTCCTCGCGGTCACCTTGTACTACTCCACCATCATCTACACCTACCTGAGCCCCGGCTCCAGCTACTCCCCCGAGACTGGCAAGGTGGTGGCTGTGCTTTACTCTACCGTGAGCCCCAGCTTGAACCTGCTCATCTACACGCTAAGGAACAAGGACTTCAAGGCCGCCCTCAAGAAAGTCTTGATGCTTACAGCTGAAAAACTGAGTTAGAGTCTGTAGAGTTTGTGTTCTTTGTTGCCGTCTGGCCTTATGAAATGCTTCCTGCCACTTATAAATGTTCTCTCTCTACGGGGCTGCACCGACACCCTCAACACAGCTCTGCAAAGTAATGCCCTCTATGGTGATGGTGAATTGGTGATGGAAATTCTATGGGGACTACACCTGAGAAAAGAAAGCAAACATTTAACAAAAATGAGCAATGATGTAAAATATAAATAAGTAAATATATTATTTAAAAATAAATAAAATAGCTACAAACTGGAAAAAAACATTAAAATTTCTACAAAAGGGCATTAAAAAAAAAAGATAACACTCTCCACCGACTGCCCCCAGACTCTTAATGGGATGAGTCACATCCCTTTTAATGAAAGGGCCATTGCTCACTTCTCAGATTCCGAGGCCCACACAGTAGCCCATGGCTGGCCCGAGTCAAGTCCACACAAGTTTGCGTCCAGGGCTGCCCAAGTGTCTTAACGGCCAAGTGGGTCTTGAGCCCAAATTGCAGAGAAAGCCTCTTCTGCGGTCCTTGTTCAATGTTGATGGGGTTGAGTCAGGGCCACCCAGGTGGCTGCTGAGCCAGGAGGGTCCCCTTGCCAGTGGGGGCGTCACCAGCCCCCTGAGGCCTGAGCAGAGCCAGTGGATGGAGGAAAGCACATTTGCTGTCTGCGGCCCATCCTCAGGCCTCACCCGGTTGCTGAGCCAGCACTTGGGTTCTTAGGTCTCCCATAGGTCCCGCACTTGGTCTTCACAACCCAAGAGCACATTCCGGTGACAAATCTCCATGTATGCACATCACTCTGTATAATGTCGTACATGGATTCACACTTTTATCTCACACACACAGAGCTGTGCATACACACCTGTGTATGTGCACTAGACACACTCGTGTGCCGTGCTGAAGCCCGCACCGCCACACCCAGGGCACATGTGTGTGCCCCAACCTCCTCTGCTGAACGGCCCTGACCAGTGCACCTGCCTCTGTGCAGGGCGCTACCTCCAGCCCCTGCTTCAAGACAGAAGTCCTGGGACCCAGGACAGGGCTGCGCATCACAGGATGCTTTCCACCTGGTTTACTCTGTTTATTTTTCATCCTGTTGCAAGCTAAATGCTAAGTGCTTCCTCCTGGATGGGCTGAGCTGTGTGCCCTATTACTGCTGCAGGTGCCTCCTGCTCCCCAGAGCCAACCATCCTGCAGTGTCTGGTGACCGCTGGGCTGTGAGGGCTGTAGTGTTTACTCACTGCCTCTCGCTGTCCTCAGCACTTGGGTAGGGCTGGAACACGACCAGTGAAGACTAAGTGGCAAAGAGCCACGTTATGCATCTGCTTGAGCTGAACACATGCACGGTGGCACCGGCGCCCACACACGTCTGTGGAGTCACACGTTCAAAGCATTTGTGGGTCCTCTTGGGGAGCAGCAAAGAAGTGTATCCCATTCACACCCCTGGAAGGGACAGGGCTGAGCGAGCCTCCACCCACATGTAGGGCTGACCCCTGATCTCCTCCCATTAGAGTGGACACAGGCCACACAGGGGCAGCCAGCTGGCCCCTGACGTGGTGTGGCCTCAGGGAAAGCGGGGTGCTCAGGGCATCGCTGCAGCTGTCCTGGCGGGCGCTGGCAGGGGCGAACACTGCAGGGCTGATTTGTGTCTTACTGATTTATCTCTAGACAGATAGAAAGCAGATGTGGCAGGTGTGAGCATCTAGTTGAATATATATTTAAAATTTCACATGATTAGAAATACTGAAATGACAGACAACCCTCAGGGCGTGCACCCAGACCTGAGGGTCAGAGCCGGTCGGGCCGGCTGGGCCGGGGCTGACTGCGGTGCTCTCTGCTCTCTCTCAACACGGAAGCCCCGGGCCTCTCTTCGCCGAGCTCCAATGTTACGGGTAATCTGGGGTCTTCGCTCAACAGAAGGAACATGCATGTGCTATTTGTTCTCATGAAAGTGATAAAGAGTTGGAATCCCAGAGGCTTTACCAGACACCGCAGTGCTTGGTGCAGGGCTGACGCGCAACTCACGCTTGGCCGAGCGGCCGGGTCCCGCCTGTGAGCGCGTCGTCGTCTCGCGGTTTCCAACAAGCACAGCCTGTGGCAATACTAAGCCCCTGAGCTCTCAGCGAGCCGTGCTGCTCGGCAGCGCCCCGCCCCTGCTCTCTCCCCGCGGCCTGCAGGCCCCTCACCGCGGCAGGTCCCAGAAGCAACGGCCACGCGGTCAGCGTGGACCACGCTGCTCGGGGGATGCCACGGCCGTCGAGGCGGGGTGGGCGCCCGTGTTTCCTGCTCAGCCCCTGGGGGATGCCGAGGGCCCCGCCCAGACTTGGGGTGGGTGGTGCCCTAGTGCTGAGGCGGAGCCCGACCGCGGGCGGGTGGGGGCGGGTCGGCTGAAGCGACATCCACGGCGCGAGCCGCAGGACGGCCGGCCGGCTGAGGGCTGCGCCCCGGAGCCCGCCTCGCCTGACCCGACGCAGACGCAGCGCCGCAGGGCGGCCCGGAGAGCGGGGTCCGGCCTTGTCAGCCCGGAGAGCGTCTCCCGCTGAGGCCGCTGTAGGCTTCAAAGCACGACGACCGTCCACCACAGCCGGAAGACCCGGGCTGAGGCGGCACTGGAGGCGTCAGACGGCAGCGAGGGCGGGATCGCCGTCAGCCTCCGCCCGTCTGTCCGCTGCTGTCCGCGCCCCCGCCCGCCCGCCCCGCAGGCGCCCGGAGGGTCCTGTCGGCTGTTCCCTTCCACTGTCAGACGCTCGCTGCGGGGCGCGCTTGTGCGTTCACCAGGGTCACCCCCGGCCCAGGCCAAGGGTCCCCGCCCCCGCCGCGCGGACGCGGCCTCGTCCCCGCCCCCCCCCCCCCCCCCGCTCTGTCCCCGCCCCCCTCCTCGGCGTCTGCAGCTGCTCTCTCCGGGCTGCAGGACTCGTTGCCCGGGTATTTATACTCCGTAAGTGAGCGAAACCGTTACGGCGACCCAGACACCCCGCGGGAGCAGGAGCCGGGGGGCCCTCACCCTGCTGCTCCCCAACTCAGTGGCGGGGTGGCGCCTCTGAGCCCTTTTATGTCACAGTGTGCTTCCTGGAGCCGCAAATGGACCAATCAGGTGCGAGCTCTGAGCCGATTGGTGTTAATTGGCCCAATCAGACTTTGCTACCTGGAGCCGCCTCTCACCTCGTCAGTGGTGGCAGCTGCGCCTCAGCGCCCTTGCTGTAACGCGCACTTCCCGGACTGTGGAATGGACCAATCAGGTGCTATGGGCTGATGGGTAAATGGTCCAATCAGCCCCAGGGTTGAAAAATGGTCCAATCAGACGTGTGGGCGGGGCCCCGGAAAGAGGATATAAGCCAGGGTGGGCGGGCGCCGAGTAGAGACGATGCCAGCCCTGCAGGTGACGGCGACCCCGACGCCCTGGACCCTGAGGAGACGACGGCGGGTCCAGCTTCCAGCGAAAGGAGGGGAGACGTTGCTCCTCGCTCTGAAGAAAGGAAAAGCAGCGTCCAGCAGCCGCCCTCTGAGGAGGGAGAGAAGCTGAAGGACTGCGTGGCGGAGGGCCTGGGCCTGTCTCTGGCTTTGCCTCACAGGAGCCCCAGAGGCCGCGGCCTGGCGTCCCGGAGAGCTGCTTGTTGTCGGTGCCGCCCCACGGCTCACTCAGCTGTGGACACTCGGTGTCTCGGACACCTCTGAGGGACCAGTAATGGCCGTCACTGCTGGCCAGCACTCCTGGTGACCGGTGGCGGCCATCACTGACGTCATCTGGACAAGGCAGCCAGACTTGCGGGTACAGTAGCGCTTTGTTTCCCTGTTTACAAAATAAGCCCCATGGTCGTTCCCGCGGCCTGAGGGCTCTTGGACTGTGCGTACGGGTGAGGCCCACAGACCTGTCCCCTTATTGGACATTGTCCTTTCTTAGGCTCTAGCCCAGAGGCTCCTCCTGTGTGGGTGTTGTATTGCTCAAGGTCCATGCATTTGGATTCCGAGAGTAGCCCAGCCCTGGAGAGTAGCCCAGTTGATGCCATGCGTGTCCAGCCCACGCTCCTTTGTGGATGGACGGGGAAAGGATTGGCACGGCCAAGAGGAGAGCCAGGCCAAGTTTTTGACAGGAGGAAATTTATTGCGCTCCCAGGGGAGGTTCGTGGACCCCTGCAGGGGTCGGAGAAGTTGCGTGTGCTTTGGGGGATAAGGGTAAACTTATAGGGTGGGGTCTGGCCTTGGGGTGGGGGATGGGTGGTGGTGTGGAGAATGTGGAGTTGAAGTTACTTTTAAAAGAAATTGTCTTTCTCTCAGAACTGGTTGATCTTTCATCACTGCTAATCAGGCCCGGCTCTGGCCAGTCTCTGGGACACAGGTGACAGCAGTTTAAAGTTTCCCTTTTCTGCCCCATCCCTACCCTGGTCTTGATCTTACAGACGCGACTTGGCATTGTGGGTAAAGCTGTGGGAACATTTGTGTGCATCTTTTCACATTAGTATTTCCATGCTCTGTGGCGGAACCCCCCTGAGGAGATGTTGCTGGCTCACGGGATTTTTTACCTTCCTGTCTCCTCCATCCGCTCACCAGATTGAAGGCGAATGTGGTTCCCTTAGAGGCTGCACCAGTGAGGAGGGGGACCTCCCCACTTCACTGTGTCACTCTCCTTGTCTGGGGTTTCTCCAGGGTCTCCCAGGGGTCCTGATCTGCATGTCCCTACTGGACAGTGACACTGGAGACTGTTCACGTGCCGTGGCCAGTGCACGTCTCCTTCAGAAAAGGGCCAAGTCTTAGCCTGTTTTTTGCTTGGGTTCTTTTTTGTTGTTGGATTGTATAAATACTTTATATTTTGGAACTGAAGCCCTTCTATTTCACTTATCTTTTTTTAAAATTTTTAAAAAAAGATTTATTTATTTATTTATACAAGCACTGGGTACGGTCAGAAGCACGGGAGGGTGAGAGAATTCACCAGAGCCAGAGCGGGGAGCAGAGCAGGCAGAAGGACCGAAGGACACTGCTGAGGGGAGCAGCGGGCGGCAGGAGAGGTCTGCGCGCCATGGGGGACCCTCGCCAGCTGCCAGGGATCGAACTGGCGCTGCAGAGGCTGTGGGCAGCTTCTCAGCCCAGCGCTCAACCGCTGCGCCACTGGGGGAGGCCCTCTCCTTGTTTCTTTCAGGTGTTCAGGTCTTACACCCAAATCTTTAATCCATTTGCACTAACTTGGGCATGGAGTTAAGTGTGGCTCTAGCTTCCTTTCGTGCATGCGGCTGTCCATGTTCCCAGAACCATTTGTTAACAGAGATTTCCTTTTCTACATCGCATGGTCTTGGTTCTTTTGTCAAAGATTAACTGTCTGTGTTTGTGTGGTTTATCTGGGTTTTCTATTCTTTTCCTTTGGTCTGTTCTTGTTGCAGTACCACACTGTTTTATTACCATTGCTGTATAGTTGTAGTATATTACCATTGTAGTATATTACCATTGCTGTATGTTGTAGTCAGGGAATGTGATAACCTCCATTTTCTTCTTTTCTCTTAGAATCAGGCCTTTTGTGGTCCATACAAATTTTGTAATTCTCAGTTCTATTCCCTTAAAAAAGTGTCATTGGGAATTTGACTGAGCACTGCATTGAGTCTGTAAATTGCTAGAGGCAACAAGACCATTTTAATGACATTTGCTCTTCCAACCCATGGGATACTGTCCATTTCCTTGTGTTTCTTTTATTTCCTTTAACAGAAGTTTTTTTTTTTTTAAGATTTATTTTTATTTATTTGTTTGTTTGTTTATTTATTTATTTACTCAAGCACTGGGTACAGTCAGAAGTGAGGGAGGGTGAGAGAATTCACCAGAGCCAGAGCGGGGAGCAGAGCAGGCAGAAGGACCGAAGTACACTGCTGAGGGGAGCAGCGGGCGGCAGGAGAGGTCTGCGCGCCATGTGGGACCCTCCTCCGGTGGCCGGGGAGCAGCCGGGGATCGAACCGGCGCCGCAAAGGCTGCGGGCAGCCTCGAAACCCAGCCTCAACCACTGCGCCACCGGGGAGGCCCCTCCTTTAACAGAGTTTTATAGTTTTTCATGCATAAGTCTTTCACCTCCTTTGTTAAGTTTGCTCCTGTTAAGTTTGCTCCATTCTTTTTGGTGCAGCTGTAAATAGGATTGTTTTTTAATTTCTCTTTTTCCTAATTCATTGTTTGCATGTAGAAATGCAGCTGAATTTTATGTATTGATTTTGCATTCTGTCACTCTGCTGTATTTTTGTTATTGCTAGTAGTTTTGGGGGAAGTCTTTGTTGTTCTGTATGTATATTATCACATCATCTGCAAATAATGACAGTTTTACATTTCGTTTCCAGTCTGGATTCCTTTTATATCTTTTTCTTGTCTAATTGTTCCAGCTAGAACTTCCAATACTCTGTTGAACAGTAGTTGTAAAAGTGAACATCCTTTTTCCTGATCTTAGGGAAATAGTTTCTGTTTTTAACCATTAAATATGATGTTGGCTGTGGGTTTGCTGTATATGGGCTTTATTTTGTCAAGATGGGTTCCATGCATTCCCATTTTATTGAGAGTTTTTAATCATAAATGGGTGTTGGGTCTTGTCAAATGCTTTTCTGGGCATCTGTTAAAATGATCCTATGATTTTTATCTTCCTTTTTGTCAATTGGATGAATGACATTGGTTGATTTGTATATGTTGAACCAAACTTTTATTCCTGGGTTGAAACCTTCTTAACCTTGGTGGGTTATCCCAACAGTACAATGCTGGCTTCCTTTGTAAAGATTTTCTTGAGGATTTTGCATCTAAGTCCACTAGAGATGTTGGTCTTTGGTTTTGTTTGTCCTGTTTGGTTTGGGGTGATGCTGACCTTTTAGGGACCTTTTGTCTTGTTTGGTTTTAGGATAATGCTGGCTTCATAGGAACATTTCCTTTTAATTTTTTTTAAGAGTTTGATAGGATAAGAATTAAGTCCTCATTGAAGACTTGGTAGAATTCTCTAATGATGTTCTCAGGTCCTGGGATTTTGCTCTTAGCTATTCCTTTGAGTAGTGTTTCAATTTCTGTGATTGTGATTAGAGTGTGTAAGCTGTCTATTTCATCCTGGTGCAGTCTTGGATGCTGTATGATTTTAAAATTTGTCTATTTCTTCCATATTCTCCAGTTTATTTGCACAGAGACATTCATAGTGGATTTTTATGATCCTTTGTATTTCTGTGACAACTATTGTAATTTTCCTTTTTAATTCATGATTATTTTTGTATGGGTTTCTTTTTGTTGTTGTTGTTGTTGTTCTTTTCTCTGTGACCCTTGCTAATTGTTTTGTTTATCCTTTCATAGAAACAGATCTTGTTTTTATTGATCTTTTGGGATTGTCTTTTTGTTTCCTATTTTATTATTTTCCACTCTAACTTTTAAATTTTCCTTCCTCCTTTAAATTACTGGCTTTCCCCCCTTCTTTTTCTAATGTCTTACATTGTAAAGTTAGATTATATATTTGAGATTTTAAAAATGTGATCCTGTGGTGTCATGTACTCCCTCTCACAATACCACTTCAGAATATCCCATGGGATCTGCCAGCCTGGCCCTCTGTTCTCATGAGCCTCCAGACACTTTTTAATTTCGTCTTTGACCCAGGAGTTGTTTGAAAGCATTTTATTTAGCCTGCACATATTTTGGTTTATTTCCAAAATAAATTTCTACCTTGATACCACTGAGATTGGAAAAGATGCCAGATATGACTTCCAATTTCATATCTATTTTTCTTATTGTAAGTTGTTTATTGTAAGATAGTCGACAAGCATCTTGCTGTCTTAAGAAATTTAAACAATGGGCAAATAATTTCTTCTGAATAGGACAGCAGTAAGGTAAAACCAAAATCAGCTGCTGAATTTTCCTTTTTCACCTCTTGTATGAGAATGAATAATCTAGATTAACCAAGAGGTGCTGCACGAGATCAGTCAAGTCTTTTGTGATGACAGCGTGGCAGGCACCACCAACACCTATGCCGTCATCCGGGTGTTTTGCTCATGATAGCGGGTCTTTCAGAGGATGACAGCTAATGGAGGCAGGTCACTCGTGGTGTTCTGTAGCACCTCAGCACCGATTACATTGCCGACGCTCACGCCCTCAGCACCTGCAGTAGGGTCGAGGGAAATGATGGGCTTTTGTCCTGTGGGAGATGGCAGGCCTGAATTGATTAAGGATGACAAATCCTTCATCACATTCATATCTAGTATTTAATGACTCAAGGGCATTGGCTGACACATCTTCATACCTTGGGGCTTCCTTCCTGCTTCTTCGAGTGTTAGAAGACCTGGTCAGAATGGGTCTGTGACTTTACCTCCATCTCCAGCAAGCAGGGCTCCTTGCCCCACTGCTGTGAGCATGGCCACCTCCTTTTTCGTTTGTTTGGCAACCAAGGGACGAAGAGCACCATCTGAGAGCGCACCAGGAGGAGAGGTCCTTGTTTTAGGCGCCTGCTATCAGCCTGTTCGCACAGGCAGAGAGCCTGTTCCATACATACAAGCTGGCTTCAACTCCCTCTCAGCTTGGGTGTATTTTCTGCAGCACCATGTTCAGAGACTTGGTCATTTTCTGCATGTTTCTGATTGACTTGTGTTGCTTGGTAACATTAATATCATTCATAGCCACCATATTTTGACCTCGGCTCCATCGCATCTGCACAGCTCAGGCGAGAGGCCAGCGATTCCCGGAGTGGACATGGTTCTGGGCCTGCTGAGGATGGGCCTTCATCCTGCTTTTGATACATGTTTGTGCCCCAGCATATTATCTACCCTTGGAAGTTCCGTGTGTGGTTAA